AGTTACCAGGCAGTTTGGACAGATTTTCAAAGCAGAATTGCCATTTCAGAATGATGGCAAAGATAGCAGTGGCTCCCAGTCATTGTGCCAGACATGTGCTGTAATTGTGAATCTTATTTATAATGTAAAGGCATGAGATGTTTCATATATGTACATCTTAAAGATTTTATTTATTCTTATTGGAGAGGCAGATTTATGGAGAGATTGAGAGAGAGAGAAAAGGATCTTCCATCTGCTGGTTCACTCCCCAAGTGGCTGCAATGACCAGAGCTGATCCCTTCTGAAGCCAGGAGCTTATTCTGGGTCTCCCATGCAGGTGCAGGGTCCCAAGGCTTTGGGTGGTCCTCTACTGCTTTCCCAGGCCACAGGCAAGGAGCAGAATGGGAAGTGAAGCAGCTGGGACACAAACCAGCACCCACATGGGATCCCAAGTGCACGTAAGGCAAGGACTTAGCCATTAGGCTACCTTGCCAGGCCCAAGGTGTTTAATATCTTTTACCATGACCCAGTTCTGAAATCTCCATTCTTTTTCTTCTCTGTCTTCCCTCTGGGCATTTCCTATAGATCTTTGGAGTCGTTCTCTTCTGCATATTCAGTCTCTACTTTAAACATATTTTACCCCCCTGGGAGTGTTTATCCCGGTGCTTAAGATGCTGCGTTGGGGAACTTGGGTTCAACTCCCTGCTCTGACTCCTGACTCTAGCTTCCCTCTAGTGCAGACCTGTCAAGCAGGTCGTGACATAAGTACCTGGGTCCCTACCACTCCCCTGGGGTGTCTGTGCTCCTTGTTCTCTTCACAGCCAAGCCCAGTGTTGGTGGGTGTTTGGAGAGTGAAGCAGTCGACAGGAGCCCTCTGCCTTTGTGACCATTCGCTTTTCTTCTTGCTGCTTTAACCACTGCCTCCTGCCTGTTCTCAGAGCTTCAGTAGCTCAATACACCAGTGGGACCTGCCGATGCCCTTGAGGATGGGGGTGATGCCCACGGTGCAGTTCACCTCCCGAGTCTGCAGTATCATCTTCACAGTGTCCTGTGGTTATTGGAAGTTGAGCTTAGAAACTCATGCTTGGCTTGAGCTGCCACTTGCTGATAGCAGAGCCCCTCATCCCACCACTGCCTACGAGCCTGGGAATACTTCCGGGGCAATGTGCCAGCACCTCTGGAGGTTTTCTCTCTTCCCCTTCTTATGTCCATGACCCCAGATTCTGCAGAGCTAGCCGTCTTCACAGTCTGCTGATGCCCTGAAAGAGAGGCGTGTGTATGTGTGTGCGCATGCTCACGCATGCACATATGCATGTCTCGAGGATTTGGGATTGTTGATGGGTAGGTAGATCTTCCGCAAGGTTCTGTGTTGTTACTGTGCATGCATACTCTTTAACTCTCAAAAAAAAAATCTTCCAGCTTGACACTTTGACAGCAGCTGACGCCCTGATCCCCTGTGGAAGCCTCTTCCTGTCCTGCCTCCCTCAGCCTATGTCCACCTATTTTGTCCAGGTCTTCCGTAACTTCTGATCCAGGCAGCAAGAGGGTTGTTCTGCAACACAGCCTCTAGCACTGTGACTCTTGGAGGATGACCCGCACCCAAGCCACAGGCCCCTTGAACCTGACTTCAGCATAAGCCTCCACTCTGCCCCTGGCAGTCACTACCTGCACCTCACACACACCCTGCATTCTCTCCACTTGTGCACTTCCTGTGGGAAGCCCATCAGCTTTCGCTGCAAATCCTGCATCCTTCCCATGTGCCTCTGGTGCATGGCACACAGCGTCAACAGTGCTTGCCCCTTGCTCCTCCCAGCCCTGCCCACTCATTCCCCAGAGGTCTTTGCATCTGTCTCCCAGGGGCACAGCACATTGCCTGGCATAAAGTAAGCACCCAGTAAATTGCAGACAGAACACATGTTGGGTTCCCTATCAAAGCCTCAGCCGCGGTAGGCTCTGCTGCCAGTCTGGGGTCCTGGTCCCTGGGGGCGTGTTCTCTTTTCAGAAACTGCAGATCCCTAGGGCTTCCAGCAGAAGGGAGAGTCAGCCTCGCTAGCCTGGCCCAGTCCATGTGTGTCCTCCTTCTAGAAGCTTGGCTCGTAGTGCTGCTTTTCTTCTTTCAGGCAGTGAAGTCTCACCAACTGTGGTCCACACCGGCATCTCTGTCCGCCTCGCCATTGCAAGACTGAGCTCTGGGAAGCTGTACTTTCAGAGCTGCAAAGGAGACTTCTGGAGCATTGCTGTACTTGCTTTGCCATGCAGAGAAAGCCAGGGCTCCTGATCACGTCCCCCTCCCTCCCTGGGGTGTGGGTGCCTCCCATCCAGAGCTACTAATGCAAAGCAGCTTCTCAAAGTTCTTACTTCAAATGTGCCCATGTGGTCGTGGCCGGAGAGCAGCACCCACTTCCTCAGTGTTGAAATGTGTTACTCATCCCCAGTGAGCTCAGTGTGGGCTGCCCTTCTCGGCAGCCAGGACTGCACGTTTAGAAACAGCTGCCCTTTGGAGCCCTGCTCTCCTGGTTGCTTCTCAGCTGTTTGCAGCCCTAGTGCCCAGGATAGCTCTCCTCTTTCTCGGGATGCTCTACAGAAAAGCAGTCATCCTTTGGGATGGAGGTTGGGGGGCTGGGTGGGTCACCAGAACCGAATGTGGCTGGGCTTTTGAGTGTTTGTCTGTGGACCTCCAGGAAAGTAATTTTGCTTCTGGCTGTGGGTATGAGTGTGGGTCACCTACACACCTAAGGAAGGTGTGAAAGTCGCTTGAGCTCTAGGGCATCTGTTGTGGCCTCTGTAGAGGGGCAGTAACTCCTCAGCATAGGTGTGAGGTGTGGCAAAGATGGCAGGAAAGTGCTTGGAAAGAGCTTGGTCCTGGGCTAGGGGATTCATTTATTCCAGAACATTCTTGCTTGTCTGCTAACTTCCATCTCTGCCCACGTCACTCTAAGAATAACAACTTGGATTCTTGCAATGGGAGACATTTAAATCCAGAAGCACAGAGGCATTTTTGTGTAAACATGCTAAGTTTACATGTATTCATGAGTTTCTATGCCCTCAACAATCAGGAGCTTTTGGTTTTTATTTTTTTGATGAGGCGGAGTGAGAAGAGAAAAATCAGTATATTTTAATCTTCTAGTTTATCCAACAAATTCTTGCAAGCCCGGGAGCCAACTCTGGGACCTGGGAGCTGGGCTCTAGGGTTGCCATCACACATGTGCAGCAGGAACTCAACAACCACCTCCCGTGTCCTGCTTCAGCAGGTGGCAGAAAGCAGGAGCTGGAGCTGGGACGTGAAGTTGAGCAGTCCAGGATGGGCTGTGGATGTCTTCACTGCCCAGCTGAATGCCTTCCCTCACCCACGGCCTTTACTTTCTGGTTAGTGGAGTCTGCAGGCGGGGAACATCTGGACCCCAGGTGTGTAACTCATTCCCAGAAAAGACATGGAAGATTTGTTCCTAAAATCTTGAGTTTCAGAGGATCTGCTGGAAATGGCTTCTCTACTGTGTCCACGCCTCCCCTCTGTACAAGTGTACAAGTGACACTGAGTCTGCTCCTGGCTGCCTGCTTTATGACACACAAGTAAAAATCATCTGCCTGTCATGCAGGCTGCCCCTCCAGGCATCTCCACCCTGCACCCCAGGGTAGCAGCTGCAAGGTGCAGCCACTTCTACCTCCCCAGCCCTTGCCACCTTGCCCCTCTCCTGGGCACAGCTATAGCAGATTCTTGACCTGCTCACCGGTATCTCTCATTGTATCCCCCTCCAATAACCTGCACCCCAGGGGAATGTTGACTCAGAAAGCATGAGGCATTGCCCTTTTCTGGGAAGCACTGACTTTAAGAAGAGTAACCAGGAACTAGCACTGTGTTGTAGCCGGCTATCTTCCATCTCCTGTACCAGTATTTCAAATGGACATCATTTTATGTCACAGCTGCTCCACTTCTGCTCCAGCTTCCTGTTTATGTCCTGGAAAAACTCAAGTCCTTGGGCCCCAGTACCCACATGGGAGACCCAGTGGAAACTTCTGGCTCCTGGCTTCTGGTTGGCTCAGCTCTGGCCATTGTGGCCATTTGGGGAATGAACCAGCAGGTGGAAGATCTCTTGCTCTGTCTCTCCATCTTTCTCTCTCTATAACTCTGCCTTTCAAATAAAAATAAATTTTTTAAAAATAAGTAACTGTAGAATGTTGACTAGGGCATCCTCCCACCTACTTCATCACAACCTCATTGTTATTAATGCCTCTTTCTGCTCCGGTCTGCCTGAGCCAGACAAGGGACAGCCCATGACACCCTCAGCTGTGTACCCACAGCCCTGAGGCTGGCCTCTGTCTGCCTCTTCCACTCCCTAGTGGGGCCCCTCCTGCTCACCTGCACCCCTATCTTTATTCTAACTCATACAGGACCTGGAGTCCCCAAAAGGCACTGGTGCTCTATGTAGAAAGGTCAAGACCTATAGAGGCAAACAGGTGCTATTCAAACTCCCTGGGCACTTGGACCACAGTCCCATGCTTCCCCTGTCCTTTGCTGCATCTCCCCTCCTGCATGGCTTTCAGACAGCCATTCCCTTGGTTCTTGATGTTTTCAGGTATCCCAGTCCAAGCCTTCCCTATTGCGTGCCACACCGGGTCCCCTACTATCTTTGGGTCCCATTGCTATAACACAGAACTCCGTGTTTGTCTCAATGCCAAGAGCACATGTCATTAAAACATCTTGGATACAAAGGGTTAATTAGCAGTGTGAGTGCAGACAGACGCTCCTCCACCTGCCAGCTGGCTTCTCAGAATATCTGGAACATGAGAAAAAGTAATGGCTTCCAGATGCTCAAGAGATGATAGCGTCGTGCAAGGTGGAGTGCAGAGACCCCCACCCACTCACAGAGTGGCCTGGGACCAAGCCCTGCAGCCTGCCCTGGGGCTGGCTGTCCCACACAGGGTGCTTTGAAGGTCATGCATGGACGAGGTGCCCATGGGGCAGGGCTTTGCACACCATAGTAGAACCCGGAATTCACACTTAGTTCTGTTTCTCATTGCAGCGAAGGGTGCAGGACGTCATCAGCCCCATCGTGTTTGAGGCAGCCTACAGCCTGGGCGAGCACATCACCGGTGAGGAGGAGCGGGAGCTGCCAGCACTGACACCTGTGCTCCGCTGGAAGAAGGGACAAAAGATTGCCCAAAAGAATCAGGTCAGAACCTGTGTGCCCATGGCTGACACCCAACGGGACTGGGACCCAATGGAGCAGGGCTGGTGGCCCAACGTGAGGGCCTATAGGCACCTCCTCTTGAGCTGCAAAATGGCATACAGGGTGGTTTTCATGATTGGTTTTGATCACTGAAATGTTCAGGCACATTGAAACTGTTTTCAGTGGTTAGAAAACCATCATCCTCCAGGGCCTCTGCCTGTGTGTAGAGCTTAGTCGGGTTTGTCTCCCATGTGCTCCATGCATGTTCTAGTGTTGGAGGAGTATGGCGAAGAGGTAAAAACTACAGTGGCCCAGCTGGTGGTTCCACTGAAAATGGCCAGCCCAAGCACCCTTGTGAAAGTCCCAGCATGTTTGTTGAGGGGAGCTCAGACCATCCCATGTCACACTCCTCAGGTTCTAGGCTTTCTGCTGGACTTCTGAGGGATGTGGAATATAAGCCACAGGAGAGAAGAGCAAGCCTGTGCCTTAATGGTGGGCTGCAGGTGCTGTGTGTGCTGAGCTGTGTGTGGGCTGTGCATCACAAAGTACATTGTGCTGCATTGCAAGGAGTTCACGACTCCAGATTGTTTGCTTTTTTCAGATGTATTTATTTATTTATTTATTTATTTGGAAGTCACAAAGAGAGAAAGAGAGAGACATCTTCCATCCACCAATTCACCTCCTAAATGGCTACAATGGCCAGGGCTAGGCCAGGCTGAGGCCAGGAGCCAGGAGCTTCCTCTAGATCTCTCATGTTAATTGTAGAGGCCCAAGCATTTTTGTACCACCTTCTATTGTTTTCCCAGGCACCATAGCAGGGAGCTGAATTGCAAATGGAACAGCTGGGACTTGAACTGGTACCCATACGGGGTGCTACTGGCATTGTATGTGGTGGTTATGCCTGTTATGCTATAACACTGGCCCCATGACTCCCAGTCATTTCTTGAGATCCCAGATCATCCTCAATATAGGGCGCTTGGACTGGTCAGGAAAGGCTCTTTTCCTGCTAAGCAAGATCCCTGCACATGGGTGAGGCAAAGCTGTGGACCACCTGTGGACTCCACCCTACACCTCTGTTCTGATGAGACTGCGTGGTCTCGCCTTGTAGATGACAGTCATGGATGGAAGTGCAGTTAACTCTTCAGGGTCAGGGCAAGGGGTGAGTTCTTTATCATTCCCACGTAGACTTCCTCCCACTTGGTCTTGGGTCAAGTTCCCTTAGAGATGAGTGTTGGAGACTCATGGTGCAGTGAGGCTGTGCTCTTGTAGGGGACTGTAAGGGGAAGGGTGTGGTCTATGCATGCCCAATACAGGGCTCTCAAGCCTGCGTTAGGCCATAGGTTGTCCTTTCCTTGGGCCTGGCCTTTGGTACTCATATTCTGGCCTCTGGTGGACCGTGGGTAGAGAAGTTGTTCTCCTTGGAGAAGGATCCCTTCAATCCAAGGACAGTCCCTGGAGAAGGATGCCCCTGTGAGCCCTCAGCTGCCCACACTCAGCATCAGCTGGGGGGTGGAGCCATGACTGTCAGTGTCCACAGTGCATATACCTCCTACCTGATCCACAGGGGCCAAACTAGCAGGCTGTAAGGACATCTCGAGATCTTTGTTCCAGAGGCACACAAGGCACAGACGTTGACATGGGTTCCTGCCGAGACCTCATTGCCATGGTTATAAATGAGTCCACTGCAGCAGAGAGGAACACACATGGGCCAAGGAATATCAGCTGTTGAGAAAGCCCTGGTAGCATCTGGGTATGAAGAAGACAGGAGAGTCTTGATCAGTGAACTTGACTTTCTCATGGAGAGGATGGGTGCCTTTCTTACCTATGGTTCCAAAGAAGCTATAGCTACCACCAGGCCAACAGTCATGGAGGAAGCAGATTGAGATATGCAACCAGAGGAAGGTGATGGGGTGTTCAGGGAAGGCCGATGTGTGTGTGGAAGGATTATGTCCCTTTTCCCCACCACTCTGTGATTCAGGCGTGCTGAAGAGCAGGCAGTCGTGCATCTTTGGTGTACACCTGCTAGTTCCCCAGAGCCAGACTTATGTCTTGGTATTTGTATTTGCTATTTCCAGTGGAACAGCTAGCTTTCCCTCCTGTATTCCACTGAAACACATCCATGAATTCTCTGAATAAACATTTACCTTCCTTAAAGATGAAACGGTAGACCAAAAAGCCTGACGTTAGGGGAAGATGTGGTACATGAAAAAAAGTCCAAAGTTAAACCAACAGAATAGCTGAAGGTAACAAAGAATTCAGGGGCTGGAAGAGATGAAAGCCAAAATAAATAGCTTAGGAGCTAATATTGTGGCATAGGGAGTAAAGCTACCACATGAAACTCTGCAACTCATATGAGAATCTGTTCATGTCTTGACTGCTCTACTTTTTTTAAAAAAAATTTATTTTTTTAAAAGATTTATTTTTATTATTTTTTTATTGGAAAGGCAGATATACAGAGAGGAGAGACAGAGAGGAATATCTTCCATCCGATGATTCTCTCTCCAAGTGAGCCACAACGGCCGATACTATGCCGATCCGAAGCCAGGAGCCTCTTCCGGGTCTCCCACATGGGTGCAGGGTCCCCAAGCCTTGGGCTGTCCTCGACTGCTTTCCCGAGCCACAGGCAGGGAGCTGGAAGGGAAGCGGGGCTACCAGGATAGAACCGGTGCCCATATGGGATCCTGGGCGTGCAAGGTGAGGACCTTAACCACTTGCGCCACCGCGCTGGGCCCTTATTATTTATTTTTATTGGAAAGGCAGATATACAGAGAGGAGAAGAGACAGAGAGGAAGGTCTTTCATCCGATGGTTCACTCCCTAAGCGGCCACAACAGCTGGAGCTGAGCCAGTCCAAAGCCAGGAGCCTCTTCGGATCTCCCACACAGGTACAGGTCCCAAATCTTTGGGTTGTCCTTGACTGCTTTCCCAGGCCCCAAGCAGGGAGCTGGATGGGAAATGGGGCAGCAGGGATTAGAACCAGTGCCCATATTGGATCCCGGCACGTGCAAAGTGAGGACTTTAACTGCCACACTATCACGTCGGGGCCCGCGCTCTACTTTTGATTCAGCAGCTTGCCAATGCACTTGGGAAAGGCAGCAAAAGATGGCTCAAGTGCTTGGACCATTACTCTATGCATTGGAGACCTGGATGAAGTTTCTACTAGGCCTGGTTTAGGCCTAGTGAAGCTCTGGCCATTGAAGCTAGGGGAATGAACCAGCAGATCTAATATCTCTCTCTATCTCTGTGTTTCCAACCTTCAAATAAATAAATAAATAAATAATCTCTTTTTCAAAACCATTTAAGAAATTTAAGAATGCATTCTATCCATTAGAAAATGAGCATAATTCTATTTCATTTTTAAAGGAAAGAACCAGAAAACAATGAAAGGAACGTTAAACTCGTGAACACTAAAAATATGACTGTGAAACCAAATATTCAATGAGAGAGTTGGGAGGTAATGATAAGAAATCTCTTGATAAGAAAACCTAAAAAGAAAAAAAAAAAGGCCAAAGAATAAATCTAAAATGTTCTGTATCTAATCAGAATGTCAGAAAAAGTTTGGAAAGAAAATTAGAAGGAATTATGAGATAATAAATTTAGATTTCATAAAGTTAGAGACACTTTTTTCCCCAGAATTATTCTGGTTACCTTATTGTGAAATGTCTCTGCTCCCAAGGGGAAGGGGGAGACTCTAAATGCAGAATGTGGTAGTGGGGGGCTGTGTGACAGCTGACAAGAGAATGAGAATTGGACTGAGCAGCCCCTAAAACTCCTACAAGCAAGATCAGAAATTTGAATATGAAATAAGAGCTTAAGAATAATGATGAAATGTGGTTTTGAAACTTGAGATGCACTCCAGCCAAACATCTAGCAACTATAAGTACAAGGGCTGGGATACAAGAAACTGGAACTCTGGGCTATTTGTTAACAAGAAATCTCAGAATGACTGTGCAGTAAGTTTGAGTCGCAGTTGCTTCAACTTGCAACAGAGGGTCAGTGAACTTCCAGCAAAACAAAGCCACGTGATGGACAGAGGGACAAGAAAGTGGCAGATGTGAAGATACAGTGTATTTTGAATAGTTTACTTCTATGAATGAGAAGAAACCAAAGGCAACCAAAAACTCCTGGAAAAATTAAAGTACATATTTAATACGTCATGGTCAACTATAAAGTAAAAAATGTAGCTTTCATCGAGTGGAAGGGTATGTGGAAGAAAATGGCTTTATACTAGAAACATTCTTCCTTAAGAAGATGAAGATAGCAGGACTTTATGTTTTTCAACTCTAGAGTAGACACTCGACATTGGTCTTAGCTCCACTGTGAATCATGATCAGGCAGCAACAGTAGAGCTGTTTGTTGGGTTTCAGTATTAGGACTATACTGATAGCATGAAATGAAAGTGTCATTAAATTTGACTATATAAAAAATTTTAAAAGACTAACAGGAGTTCTCTTAGTCTTTTTAAAAAAAGGTTTATTTATTTTTATTGCAAAGTCAGATATATACAGAGAGGAGGAGAGACAGAAATATCCTCCATCTGATGATTCACTCTCCAAGTGAGTGCAATGGCCGGTGCTGTGTCGATCCAAAGCCAGGGGCCAGGAGCTCTTCTGGGTCTCTCACGTGGGTTCAGGGTCCCAAGGCTTTGGGCCGTCCTCATCTGCTTTCCCAGATCACAAGCAGGGAGCTGGATGGGAAGTGGAGCTGCCGGGATTAGAACCGGCACCCATATGGGATCCTGGTGTGTTCAAGGCAAGGACTTTAGCCGCTAGGCCACCATGCCAGGCCCTTCTCTTAGTCTTTTAATGTGAGTCAAGTGACATTCTAAAATTTGTTGAAATAACAAATAGTTGTTTTCTCCTTAAAACTGCAGAGCTCACCAGTAAAGCAAAGCTTCTTGGCCCATGAACTAGCAGATGAGCTTCTTTGAATGCTCATGGGAAAGGATGATTTGTCTGTCAAAATGAGGGAAGGGGAGAGATCCTTGTGTGTGGGTGAGATAAG